TTCCTTCTATCGATATCAGGTAGGTATAAGGAAATCAACAATGCAATAAGTGTACGTGGTTTCACCCGGAAGTAAGTTATTATAATATACCAAGTTAGCTTATATCTAAAAACAGTAACTTCCTAGACAAATCTATTTTATGACATACACATTGATAGACATATTTATAGTCCTACTATGCAGCGCGCGATGTTTCTGTGAAAAAAACACTACAAGTTACACGCGTAACACAGTGCGACGTGGCGACTGCGGCGCTATGATATCATCGATCGATTTCGTAATCAAGCTTCAATGGACCGTATAGTATTGTGTATTCATGGTGATTATTAACGCTGTGGAATATTAAAACTGTGGCATATTAAAACTGTTCCCTCCTACCACTTTACAAACGTGATTACAGTATTTCGTTGTAAGACATTGTTAACCGAGGTTAGAAAGTCAATCAGATAAACAATGTTCACGATAATAAAACCTTGGTATCAAAGTTCACACGGAGTGTCTAGACATGGCACTCGTACAATAATTTCAAAAGTCTAAATGTTTGTTTTGTTGTAATAAATAAAACAGCAAAATATCGGTGTTTTAGAAAACCTGTGCGTGGTTTTTGTGAAATAAACAAGCCAATACTTAAATAAAATAACAACGTATATAGATCACGTTTTAAGAATATAAATTTCATGTTTCTGCTTGACTGGGGACAAATAATGCCGAGCCCGTTCTTACTGTGATTTAACACTCCTGCACCGATTACACACAGGTGCTGAATGACTAACTTCAAGTTGACGTACGCGATTGTTTTGCTACGTCAGTCTCCCCATAAAACCCATAACGAGAAGGTAGCTTTGGTACAACTTAGGCACAAATCTCGAAATCTCGTTGATATATGAGGAGCGTCACAAGTACAACACAGCAAACAACTGATAAACATTCCACAAATACAACGGCAGCAACAAGTGGCATTAGAATAAAAGCTAAATCAGCGAGAGAGAAATGTTATGATATCCACGCAGGATCGACCATGGTCAGAACCATAGTATTCGATATTCCAACATGACGATCATTACATATCTTTATGATCATGATCATTTGCCTAGGTAATGAGCTCAAGTTCAGGAAAAAGAAATCCTTTATCTTCTGTTTATCTATTTTTTTTAGATTCATCATACACATCACAATTGTAAGCTGCAAAACTTTCAAGATGAAGTTGTCAAATATTGTATATGTGACTGTGGTGTCTGTGATGTCATGTGTTGGTGTATTCGGAGAATTGTCATTAAAGGACGATTCTGGTGATCATATATGTTACGTAACAACCAGGTGAGTGTGTGTTTAATACAATGTGTGTTTTATGTTTCAAAACTTAAGGGATTTAGCTCCTCCTCTGGCACAGACGAACAGCACTTATTTTAAATAAGTGACAGTTTAAACAATGTTTAAAAAATAGTATTAACTTTTGTATTAACATGCGAATGTTCTGGATTTCATGTCATTGTTGTGACTTTCTTTTCATTTACAAATTGCAAGTGCAAATATTTCCCAATGCAAAGTTTCAAATGTTTTCTATTCTAAATACAATATGTTACATAAGTTATAACACAGGGGCGGGACAGAATTTTTTCATTGGAGGGGGGGTCCAAACTTTAAAATCGCCAGACTAAGTTAATGATTTTGTTATATTATACAAACAAAAATTGAAGAAATTTTTCAACGGGGGGAGGAGTCCGGACCGCAAGAACCCCCTAGATCCGCCATTGTAACAATATACGTGACATTAGCCAGTTGATCTCAGACATGTACATCAGTCTATCCTATCAATTGTACAAATGCCCACACAAACACCTATAATTTATTAATTGACTGTATTTTATGATGCACACTAACGCTAACATAACACACCAGCATAGCTGTGTGTCTTTCTTAAAATGTGTATCACGTAATATTATCTTCATAAGAAGGGACGTGATACGTGGTTTTGTTTGGATGTCATAATTATCCACCATTCTGTCGTCGCTGTAGTTGGTTAATGTTGTTAATAAAAACAACTAATAGTATCAATTTCATATAACATCTAGTGTGTAGGTAACGTTCGACTTATTGTATCGTGAGCTCCTGAAAATCTGGATAATGATCTATTGAGGGTGCACGTGCGCGTCTCGCTCTCAATGAAATATAGGCGATCATTTGCAAAAATAGTTGATTATGTGAACAAGTTATATATTACAGACGAACCACACGCATTTTAAATACAATATACTATACGGCATATTGAGAAACAAAGTGAGTTATGAATTAATGTAAAATGCAAATGCTACTTTCAAATTGGCCCACTTATTATAGTATTCGTTCAGTGAAAATTAAAATAAAACAACTAATACTCATCTATCAAAATAATTAGTGCAAACTCTCATTTGGGTGCTACAAGACACAATATTTTCAGTTCGTGATAAATCACTATCAACATGTAATTTACAGCACCTGGGTGCATTTTCGGGTCAAAAGGTCAAGGTCACATTATTGAAATATATATGTCCACTATCGTGCTACAAGTAACTAGGCACTTCGAAATTGGAACACATTTCTCTCATGTAAGTCACAGGACACGGCAAATGTCAGGGCAAAAGTTCAAGAGTCAAGATCACAACCTTGTTAATTTAAGGTCAAAGGTCAAAGTGTCAGCGTATGTATATATAAAGCCTAAACTTGTTGAGTGTTGATACGAATATTGAGTTGTGAGTTCATTACCCAGCTTTCTTATATAAGATCACCCAGTTTGAACAATTCAGATGCGTACATTTGCTAATCGACTGACTATTTACTAGTATACTACTTTCAGCCATGTGACCCGTTGGTTTAAACCTTTTGTTCTTATGCAAATTGTAAACCGGCCACACTTGTAGTTGGGTTCGAAGCCACAACATCAACCATAGGTATACCCTCTACAAACTGAGCTATTGGATTTCCGATGGGTTTTCTGGGGAAATAAAACTGTTATTAGAAATGCCATTTCAATGTCAACTGGATTAATAAAAAAAACAATGTTTTTTCAGCTTACAAGAATCCTATGAAGAAAGCTATGTATATCCATATGATCAGATTTATTACACAACATGCTGGAATCCACTCAAATTCTTTAGGTGCACCCGTACACGGTAAGAATCCAACATACCATCCATAGCGCCCTCTGAAACATATTTAATCTCACTCTATATATTATCAAATTTGACTTGATACATCAAATAAATTAAAGATAATTTATTCGTATATGCAAAGTCGACTCATCGAGTATGTAAGGTTACACATGATATTGTGAAAAGCTAAATAAATTGATTTACAGACGCTTGTACCGAACTGAGTGGCGTACAGTATATCAAACTACATATGTGAGAGATAAGGTCTGTTGTCCTGGCTACGAACAAAATGGGGACGTATGTATTCGTACGTATTTTCCTTATTATATATATATACTCTGTTTTGCAATAGTTGCCATACTGCAATCGAATAATGCTTTCGTCACTGGACCGTTAATGCTTATATTTGCATACTGTAAACTAGTGCTTGGCCCCGCAATCAGTAGAGTGGTGCATAAGTAAGAATAACACAGAGCAACGCATAGCATAAATCCGTAGTTGAAAAATTGTCAATTTAAATATATACGGGTATGAATATAAATATATACATCATGTACCCGCTAAAACAGACATACTATTATCGTTTTAAATGCTGACAAATGAAGATTACGTATGATATGTTATTATGGTTCTAAAGCAATGGGGAAGCAGTTCTGGAGATCAATTCACATTTAAGAACGTAATTAGGCCAGATATTTAGATTTAGACTAATTTACATACCAATAAATAATTGGTTGGTTAGTTCGGCGTTTAAATTGTACTGTATAAAATAATTAAGTACACTTAAAATATTTACTTTATACAGAAGTATGCACTTCTATTCGAGGTGTGCTGCGGATAAAAGAATATGATGTACATTAAACCCCATTTTCTATTCACTTACAGCGCTATGTAATGAATGTGACAATCGACATGCTACCTGTGTTCGTCCCGATGTGTGTAAATGTGATGCAGGTTACCATGGCAATGACTGCTCAAGTAGTAAGTTATTGTGCATATTTGTGTTGTGAAGCACAGACATCATTTGTGATGTTCCATTAATGCAATGCTATAATTATATGTTTAGTAATTTATCCAGATTATCTTAATTCAAAACTAATAAAATGTTAATTATATAAATACAACCAAGAGAATTATTTGTTTGTTTTTTTCTTTGCAGGCAATAAAATGTAAACAGAACATTCTAAATTTACCATTCATTAAATATCAGTCATATTTGCATAACAGGGCATGCACGATCAAACGGGAACCCGACGTTACCCCAATTAGATAGATGCCGCCCAGCAAAAAACGGTATTAATCATAGCTCAAAGCTGCGCCACAAGCGAAGGTCCAATATAAGTTAAAACGCTACGTGTTCAATTCTCAAATTGTATGGATAGTCATTGAACAATCTGTGGAATCACTGGGCATGCTAATTTATGAATTCCCTCACGAAATGCTAAAAACCCGTGTATAGATATTCATGTTATAATTATACTTAAACTATGCTAACTTTCAAAAAACATATATATAACATGTGTGCGGTCGAATATGGGTTTGGAAATAAGCCACATCGAACGCAGTTTTCTGTACCATCACAAGTGTGGAAAGAATAGCGATGTTGTGCTTAGTGAAAAAAGAGGGACATGGTACGGTCGCCCCTGCATCTAATGAAACACGGAACATTTTAGGAACATTTATTATGACGAAGCATACAACCTCTTATAATCTAGAAATATATCAAGAAATGAAATATAAAAAGGAATCAGAAAATCAACCAAAAATATCGAAAAAAGTCACACCAATTACAAAAATGTTCATTAGTAATTTTTGTCTTTCTATTTCTCACAGCATGCAGTAACAACATGTGTGGAGATAACTGTGGTATATCTTGTTTATCAGTGTGTGGTACTAATGCTGATACGTGTAATCCCAGCACATGTGAGTGCAGCTGTAATCCAGGATGGAGAGGTAAGGATACTAATACATGTATGTAAGCTATGAGGAGTATGGTGATGTCCACATGTGAGTTATACTCGTGTGAATGTGTATGTATATAGATTGGATGTTGCAGTGTTATGTTGCAATGCTATTTCTATGCATTGAGTTAATACTAAATGTTCATACTTTATTAGGAGATTTTTGTGATGAGCCTTGTCAATATGGATATTATGGTCCTGGTTGTGCATTGCTATGTCAATGTCAAAATGGTGCCGAATGTGATTATGTAGATGGTTCCTGTACATGTACTGCTGGCTGGCAACCACCTCTGTAAGTACTATAACAGAAAAATACAGCCTGTCATTGGTCTGTTAAGTTTAAATTGTATTGCAACTATTACAAATCAATGCATGACATTGTGATTATTGTAATGTGGCTGGGAGTGTCATTTATTCTTGGTCTCCGCATATTTTGTATTTACGTCCAGTTTCTAAACTTGTTTGTTTATGAAAAATGAACACGGTTAACATTTCTTTTACGAAAGAGCCGCACACAGATCTGCGAACGCGTGCCTGTAGTTATATCAAAGTATGTTAATTTCTCGTTGTCGATTTTTAAAATAAGAGTCACATCAAGTCAGAATACATTTCTTATGTGTGTTTCAGTTGTGACATTCCTTGTCCTATTGGAATGCATGGTGATAACTGTTCTTATATATGTGACTGTCAACATGGAGGAGATTGTAATCCAACTAATGGAGCCTGTGACTGCACACCAGGGTGGTTGGTAAGTTACATTTCACAATAAATGTACATGTATTATTGCCACTCAGATGACCTACCCAAAATATAATCGGATTATTGTAAAGTATATTATAAACCCCAATATTATATGAGCTTATTATACAGTTACGGCACACAAGACAACTGATTCAATCGTTTTACAAACTTTGGCACACAAAAAACGACGGCACATGCGCCAAACCGTACTAAAAATAGAAGTTAGATAACACACATATCCGATAAAAAGAACCGACACGCATCAGTATAAAATTATATAAATATATTGCGGTTCACTGTTTATTGACTAGGGGGATGTTTGTTCAGTGCCTTGTGATGACGGTTATTACGGCCAGGATTGTCTTGAGATTTGCGACTGTAGGAACGATGGTATATGTGATAACGAGAATGGGGATTGCCATTGTTTAGCTGGTTACCATGGCGAGAACTGCGAGGGAGAATGTGATCATGGTTATTATGGTGATGGTTGTCTAGAAAATTGCCTGTGTCAAAATGGTGCGGACTGTGCTATAGAAGATGGCTTTTGCACGTGAGTATTTAAGATATGTTTCGGAGGAATACTATTAATATGCAACGAATTGTTATTTTTTTATTTTTCTCATATGCAACTTGAAAATCAACATTCAGTTTAACTATTTATTTGACATGTACATTGTGTTATATTAGTCTCCTCCTGCAGAATGGTTATTATCAGACATATATATGATATTACAATTAAAAAAATCATATAAAGATATTATCATCATATCCTCAAAAAGCTGAAAATGAATTACAGATATCATTTATATATAACAAAAAGGGAACTGACTGAGGATATATTCTTGTGGAACATCACAACTTATTCTTACCTTCTACTTGTTTTACAAAGTTTTCTTTCACAAACTGTTTTTTTCCAGTAGAGTAATGGTAAACTTTACTCCGCTAAACCTCCAAACATTATCAAAACAAAAATACCCCCACCCCCTACGAAAAAACTGTCAAAAACTGTAATGTCTGTAATATTTGTTCTAGGTGTACGCTTGGATTCCAAGGAGTTTATTGTAACGAAAGTGGTAAGTTATTTATTGAAAACGATTGTTGCTTTCAAATTTGTTTCTAGTCAATCGTTTGTACACAAAAACAAAAAATAATCATTGTTGTTGTTTTTCAGCGTGTGAAGTATGGAAATTTGGAGAAAACTGCACACACAAATGTCCTTGTGTTCAAAGTAACAGTTTAAGGTAAGGTTAGGTTTAGGTAAAGGTGCAAGAGAATAATAACTTGTTTATTTATTCCCTGCTTTCTATGTGCGTTATAAGAGTTATACCTGAGGCTGAGGGCGCTTTCCGGTAGAACACATGCAATTGCAGATACTCCGAGCTATATTTTAAGTTTTTACTCGTTCAAGCGTATAGATCTATCTACCTCATCATGAAATGCCACGATTGTAATGCCAGAAAGGGTGTAAAGTTGTGCCAAGGCGACCTGATGCTATGCGCAAGTTGTAATGCAAAAAGGTCAACATCAACATCAACCGAAAGTGAAAGTGAAAAAGACAAGATGGCGACGTCCATGTCCATTGGTATGTCACCGGCTGACCAACTACATGCCATGCTGCAACCCATCAGTGCACAACTACTGAAAATCGGAAATGACTTAATGGAGGTGAAAAAAAAAGCAAGCGGACTTAGTCAGCTCATTTGATTTTTTTAATGAGAAATATGAAGCT